AATAACGTACGTGGAGCTAGGCCTTACCTGGGGGCGGACGTAAGGCTAGAAAATAACACCTAAAGCAATTAAGAAATAACAGACAAGGGGGCTTCAGAAACTAAGCCTCACTGACGGTCAGACAGAGCCAGATCAGCAATTAGGAAACTTGGCCTCACTGCCACTGAGGGCCTTAGAAACTCTAAGAAACTGGGCCTCAGTCGGATTTCCAGCTTTCTTAATGCCCGTCTACAGGGGATCGCGGGCAATAAGAAGGGCATATTTTGAGCTTGAGGCTGAGCTTCTTAGCAAATCACATACAAACAATGCTTATATTTGCTTAAAATACATACAACCAACGCAAAAGAACGAGGCTCAGCTTCTTAACACTACGGCTTCTTATTGCCCGCGACACCCTGTATGACGGTACAGCAAATTTATCTGACACACAAAAATAGCAGATAAAATGTCTTCATAAATAAAGTTGATGCGTCTTCGATCATGATCGACTGGCCAGTGTCAAACTACTCCTCAAATTTACCACATGGACACATTTACGACCAGCTGCCGCTGGCTTTGCAAATTATCTCGGACGAACTAGTATATTACTGATAGGGATTCAAGCTGGCGTCTGACTGTTCTGAATGTTGTGCTGGTTTGAGCACTGCGTCACCCATTGCCTGCTGCGTGCCTTAGTCGGCTGCGGTGGCTTGGGCGCCACCGCGCGTGCCGATGGATTTTCGGTATATTCAGACCAGAACAACTTTCAGGACAGTCAGACGCCAGCTTGAATCCCTATATCAGCAATATATATTTATGATAGGGATTCAAGCTGGCGTCTGACTGTTCTGAATGTTGTGCTGGTCTGAGCGCTGCGTCGCGCATTGTCTGCTGCGTGCCTTTGTCGGCTGTGCTGGCTTGGGCGCCACCGCGCGTGCCGATGGATCTCCGAATATATTAATGTAGGGGGGTTCGGGCTGGCGGTACGTTTCAAGTTCAAGTCAGGCTGATCTAAGCGCTCTGACGCAGGCTCCTACGCGCTACGCCGAAGTGGGGAGCTGGTA